TATGATCAAACTTTTCCCGAGGTTTTATAGCATCTCCTCTCCCTTCCTTTTATTTTCAGGCCTTTATGGTAACACAAACCTTGCTAATCTCTATCTTGCTAAATCAAGCCCAAAGTCTCAGTATCATTACCTGAAGTTCTACTCTGAAGTCATCTATCCAGGTCTGCAGTTCTTTACTGACATTATAAGGTGAGCAGGTTAATGCAAATACTGAACAAGCCACACTGGTGGCCGCCATTTTATCATTCAGTTTTTTTTCTTAAATATAATTTTTTTATTTTGCTAAATTAATTTTCTGGGTATTTATATTATATGTAAATTAAATAAAAAGTAAAGTGTAAGTTTGTTTATTCAGATGTTAAGGGCAACCTCCCAATACCCTTAAACGAGTCCCTCTTAAGAGTAAAGGTTTTTAAACATTACTTCTCAGGTGTGACAGATCTTAACCTTCTACTCCTGCCGTTGCTATGGTATACCCATTGATATGAACGGAATACAGCATGATAGACACATCGCAAAACTTATGTGCTCCAAAGAAAAATTTTCAATTTTATTTCATCCACTCTACTTAAGTAGGAGGAAAGCAGGGCAACTGATATTTCTACAACTCTGCAGTATGTTATTCTGAATGGGCTTTGCATGGGAAAGACTGAAAAATTTTGAGGCCAAAAACTATATGTTTCAGTTGAAGTGGATGGGTTTAGGGTTAGGGGAAATCTTTCATACAGTTAAATACCACTGTGCATTATGAAATCTGATTTCAAAACTGTTCTATTCAACTTCAGTTGGTGGTTCTAAAAAGTGCTGTTGGAGGTGGGATAAGTGTGTGACACTGTATTTGGTATATAGGCTGTCTATTTTTCTTTATATTAATGCAAATCATCTCTTTCAGGGAAGGGGAAGGACTTTTTAAGAAAACACATGGCATGTTACCAAACAGTTGTTTTGAGGCTGTTTACAGGTAAAAAGAGCAATGTTTTGGTATTGTTTTTGAGAGAAAGGTCTAAATGTGGAATCACACCACAATTAAGCTAGTCTATGCCCTTGTCTTTTCTTTACATGCTGTGTTAGTGCAGCTGTCTATAACTCAGAAGTCCCCACATGCTCAAAGATCTACACAAATATTGCCACTTGCTTCAACAGAAAGATCCATGTTCATATAATTTTACATATGTGGCTGGTGCCCCACCCTTGCCATAAGGTGGTTGAATAACACTAGCCAAGACAGCTCGTTCCAAACTCCAGATCAGACAACAGGTTTGGCATATTTTTAGAAGAGGTGAAAGAAATTTGTTTCTCATAGCACATTACTGTCCTCGTTTCCCTGCATTGCATGTAGTGTGCTTTGTTTTGTGATTGGTAAGTGGAATTTAAACACAGAATTGATGGCTGAAAATTTCCCAGTCCTGATTTCATTTCATTCTTCTCATCCTTGCTTTATATTGAATTTTGATAGTTTTTTCCTTCCCACATCAAAATTCATGTACATTTTGGTGCATTTTACCTAAACAGAGCACTTATATACACATTACATAATGTATAAATTTTCTCCATTGATTACAACGTGTTTCTATGTGGATTCTTCAAATACATATATTTTGGCTATCTGCATCGCAAATGTGGACATTTTCACTCTTGAGAGGTACAAAAGTACTTCTTCTTTCAAGACTGTTTTATCCAGTGCTATTATTTTTCATTCCTGTCTATATCAGATTGTAGGAGTGTTATCTGCCATTGTGTTTTCAATTTTTAGAACAGAGGAAGAGTTGCAAAGATTCTCTGAGGCCATGGATGATGCCTGGAATTTGTATGGTAGAGAAGTGATGTCTGCATTTAATCTTTCTCATTTCCCACTCATTTATGATCTGGGAGGTAAGTAGCATAACTTCTCAGCTGCCTTCCATTGCGGATAACTTGAAATCATATTATTGTATAAGTTGGGGGGGGG